ATTATACGTCGTATGGGAGTTTAAGTTTAATTACTGTAATTATTATAGTAATGTCTGTATATTTTATGTATAAACATTATCTAAAATGGAACAAAACGAAGGCTTCTAGATTATCCATGAAAAGTGACGAGGACATCATCAAACTAAAGGGGGAGGAGTTATAGTCACGTACCAGACTCATTTCTAAATATTAAGAGTCATTAAGGAAAACTAGGAGAACGGCATAGAAAACTTCTAGAAATCCCTTTCACCAAAAAACATTAAAAACGTCAAAACCTTAATTACTTAAAATAGTATAAATACTGAATGTTATTGTTTTTTAAGGTAGAATTCTTATACTGTTATTATGCTCTATTCCTTTCCGAACAAAATAAATCAGTCTAACCTAAAGTGTTTTATTTTTTAAAAATACGATTGTGGTTCACGATTCTTTAACTGTATATATCAATTCCTTGACATAAGCAGCAATGAACTTGTTAAATGTAATATATCAGATATTAAAAATAAGTTGATGGTAATTAAAGAACCTAACGAAAAATCATTTGTGGCCTACGAAATGTTACACACTGACTAATAGGTATAATATAGGGTGTTAATTAAGTGCAAACATTAAGGGGTAATAATTTTTTTAAGTAATTTTTCATAAAATTTATAGTTCAAACTTTTTTAAAAATAGTTTTCTTATTGATATCTAAAAATTATTTCAGTTAAAGTTAGGTACATACTTTACATATATTAATTAAGGTTTTTTGTGCCGAAAAAATGTATATTTTTTGTAAATATATCTATTTCTTAAGCATTCTTTAGTATTCTTTCAAATTTATTTTTGTATCACTTCAAATATTATTTCAATTCTTTTCAACTTCTTATATCTTGTGCATACCGTGCCGTCCTTTCAGTCTAAACTCTATTGTTCTCTCAATCACTTTTACCTAGAAATCCAACTTCAACCATACCTGCATGCATTCTCATATTAACATCTGGTTTTACCCTTAATTGCTTTCTCTTAAATCATATACTGTTTAACTCTACGTATTTCTATAAAGCAGTGATAAACCAGTGTCTTCACCCTCACTCTCACTACTTTTCCTTCTAGAACATTCTATCAAACAACCCTGTCCTATAAATACTCCGAAAAATTCATATCTATACCACTATGCGCTCGACCTTCGTTGTACGAACATCACCTGCACCGCACCGATTGACATCACCTGCACCGCACCGATTGACATCACCGAAACGACCAGAGCTTTCCAGCGAACCAGGCGTTCAAAAACCTGTCCGTTACTGGACAACTAACCACCCAAGGCCACCATTATTCAGCCCCGCTGTAATAGGTAAGAATTTTCTTTATTATTTTTTCAATTAACCTACAGTTCTCTGGGACGGAGTACGCAATGTCCCTTTGAACTACGACGAACCCTATATACTAACACAACAAACCTTTTTTTTAAGCAACATATTTTCCTCTATTTTTAGCAATTTTCCTGATTGTGCGAAGTCACATACTATCAAATTAGCTAGCCATTTTCAACATGGCTACCCCCAAGAGCTCCGCACTCTTGGAGGGATTTTCCCTTGCGGACGCCCTTGCCCTGGCCAGTGACCTTCAGGCCAAACTCGCCCAGGTAAACGAATTTATTCGTTTATATTCAACTGCAGCAGCCCCTACGCCCGAGACCGAAGACATGGAGTCTTCATCCACAATCAACGCCAACAAATCCGACCCAACGCCAGCCCCAACCGTACCCAAGGTCATTACCGACAGTGCCGCTACCCGTCTACCGTACACGGACCGCCGAGAGAACGACGGTTTCGTAAAAGCCGGCAAACGCGCTAACAAGCGCCGCCGACAACAGCCTTTTC